TTTTTTTCTTTTTTTGTAGACATGAGGGTCTTGTTATGTTGCCCAGGCTGGTCTTGAATTCCTGGCCTGAAGGGATCCTTCCACCTCATCCTCCCAAAGTGCTGGAATTACAAACTTGAGCCCTTGCACCAAGCCTCATTTATATATATATATATTTTAAAGTATGTAGTTACTTATGTAAATAAAATCTCTCTGAAAGCTTTGTAGCTGGGAACAGTGGGTTCCTCCTGAGAGAGTGATTCGCAGGTGGGGGCTGGAGGGAGACATAATTTTTACTATAAACACTTCTGTGCTATTATATATGTATTTATTTACTATTTTTATTATTATTTTTACCATCATCTTCTTTAAGATAGTGTGTGCTTTTCATTATTTTATTTATTTATTTATTTGTTATTTTCCTTGAGACAGAGTCTCAGTCTCCCAGGCTGCAGTGCAGTGACATGATCTTGGCTCGCTGCAGCCTCTGCCTCCTGGGTTCAAGTGATTTTCCTGCCTCAGCCTCCCAAGTAGCTAGGACTACAGGCACCTGCCATCACACCCAGATAATTTTCGTACTTTTAGTAGAGACAGGGTTTTGCCATGCTGGCCAGGCTGGTCTCAAATTCCTGACCTCAGGTGATCTGTCCACCTCAGCCTCCCAAAGTCTTGGGATTACAAGTGTAAGCCACTGCGTCTGGCCACTGTGCTTTTTATTTATAGACTGTATATGGAATATACCTATATACAATAAATTTTAAAATATGAGAAATTTCTCCATGGAGATTAATATTTTGTTAAATGGATAGAATCAAGAGTACCTTTCCTTTAAAAATACACACACATTCTTTAAATGAGAAAAATGTCTATATAATATTAAAAATCAGAAAATAAAAAGAACGAAACTCTTCTTTAGCTCCCTTTTTTAAGTCTAAAAATCCTCTGTGGACATTTGGTATACACTTAGAAATGTGTCCTAACAAGGCTGTTCACTCTCAGCTGTTTGACCTGCAGTTTCCACGGTGGTGGCCTTCCAGGAGAAAATGTACCCTTTTAATGTTCTCTGGCTCATAAAATACTGTGGGATGTTTTCATCACTGCTGGATGGAACGTCAAGAACAGAACCCACTGCCAGTGGCAAGAAATAGATAAGCTCTTAAGGATTTGACATTAAAATACTGGTAAGATTTACAGCAAAATTGAGAGAAAGCTACAGACATTTCCTACATGCCCCCACCCCTACACATACACAGCCTCCCCCATTATCAACACCGCCCCCAAAGTGGTACTTTTTTTTTTTTTGAGACGGAGTCTCACTCTGTAGCCCAGGCTGCAGTGCAATGGCACCGTCTCGGCTCACTGATACCTCCACCTCCAAGGTTCAAGTGATTCTCCTGCCTCAGGCTCCCGAGTAGCTGGGATTACAGGTGCCTGCCACCATGCCCAGCTAATGCTTGTATTTTTAGTACAGATGGTGTTTCTCCACGTTGGCCAGGCTGGTCTTGAACTCCTGACCTCAGGTGATCCACCCACCTCAGTCTCCCAAAGTGCTGGGATTACAGGCATGAATCACCACTCCCGGCCCCCAAGTGGTGCATTTGTTTCAATTGATAAACCTACATTGACACATCATTGTCAGCCTGAGTCCATATTTCATACTAGAGTTCAGTCTTGGTGTTGTACATTTTACGCATGGTAGTGATGTGTATCCAACATTATAGTATCATGCAGAGTAGTTTTACTGCCCTAAAAATCCTTCGGGCTCCACTTATTCATCCCTCTCTCTCCGTTAACCCTTGGTCTCAAAAAATGCCTCAAAAAAATGCAGTCTATTAAAACAAATACTAGAAAGAGGCTGTTAGGGTGAGACAGAGAAAATGTGTCAAATAATCTTAAAGTCTTGCATCCAGGGATCTCTAAGATAGACAAAGAAGGCTTAGGGGTGAGTGACAAGTTTCTATGTGTGATCTGTGAATGAGCTGCTGAGATTAAAAATGAGCAATCCCAGCACTTTGGGAGGCCAAGGTAGTTGGATCGTCTGAGATTAGGAGTTCGAGACCAGCCTGACCAACATGGTAAAACCCCATCTCTACTAAAAACACAAAAATTAGTGGGACGTGATGGTGGGTGCCCGTTATCCCAGCTACTCAGGAGGCTGAGGCAGGAAAATCGCTTAAACTAAGGAGGCAGAGGTTGCAGTGAGCTGAGATCATGCCATTGCACTCCAGCCTGGGCAACAGAGAGAGACTCTGTCTCCAATAAAGAAAAAAAAAAAAAATGAGCATCACATTTCTGATGCCACATTCAAGACTTCTACCTCTGCCATTTTCGCAAAACTGCCCTTTGACTCCAGTCCTAAGCCCAACTTTCCTCATCATTATCATCAGCTACCTTGACTTTTTGTCCTTTTGGAGAATCTGTCAGGCTTCCTCACGGGTCTCCTTCTCCTGCCATCCTGTCCCTCCTTCGCCTTGTAACTAGAGCAATTGTTCTAGAGCATCACATAGATGATGTCACTCCCTTGCTACAAACTTGAAGTCAGAAGCTTCTCATCACAACCAGAATAAAACACAAAATCCTTACCATGGCCTACGAGAACCTATAATCTGGCCCCTCTGCCCTGCTTCCCTCTGCCTCACACTAGGGTTCAGTCTTTGTGCGTGGTGGTGACCAGGCATAAAACAGTAGTCTCCTGCTTCAGGAGGATCGATCCTTCTGCTTCAGCCACACTCACCACCTTGTTGTCCCTTGAATACTCTTAAGTTTGTTACTTCCTCAGGACCCTTGTACTGAGGGTCCCTTTTGTTCTGAAAACTTGATTTTCAGGTTGTCTTAAGGTTGCCTCTATCTTACCATTCAGGCTCCGGGTCAAATGCTACCTCTTCAGCCAAGCCTTTCTTGGCCATCTAGAGAAACTACTCTTGTCGCTCCATCATAGAATCCTATTTTACCTTTGTTTTGTATTCTTTTATGTCATGATCAGGCCAGTGTGGTCACAAAAGGAGATGCGGGAGAGAGGATGGGGAAAACAAAGTATGTTATACTCACAGGTCCTAGAGACAACTGGCCATGGAGGGCATGGGGAAGACACAGGCGTCAGGAAAGCCCAAATCAATGTCTTTTTAAAAACTTCTCTGACCATACCCACAATAAGAAATATATTTACTATCATGACCCAGTGAATGTACATATACACATACTGGGTACAAAACACTTAGCTTTCCTACACGAATACAGTCTGATGGTCTCTATTCAGTTCTGTGTAGCTTAAAAAAAGTGATCCTTGAAACTCTAAATTGATTTCATGACCCCAAAATTGGTTAAAATTGAGAGTTTGAAAAGTTACTTAACTTTTTACATTATTAAGCAAGGTAGTTTATTATCTTTGCGGGGTGAATTGCATCTCTACAGAGTGACTGTGGTGGTCTCGGCTGATCGTTCTGTGGCGGTGGGAAGGCACTGAGCGGTCAGGGAAGGAACAGTGTGGTGGGAGCAGGCAGCACGGCTTATGCCGAATGCTGAAGAGGTTAAGGAAGGTACGAATGGAACCCTAGATTTAGCACTGAGGGTGTCTTTGACTTAACTAAGAGGAGAGTCCATGGCAAGATAGGGACAGAAGTTAAGCTGCAGTTGGTCAGGGAGTGAATATTACATATAGACTACAATTTTAAGCATGTGAGGGGATGAAAAAATTAACATAGGC